TGGGCCTCCCAGAGGTCTACCCATATTCTAATTCTAGAATCTGTGAACATGTTACTTTGCATGGCAAAAGGAACTTTGCAGATGTAATTAAGGTTAAAGGCCTTAATGAGACAATTCTAAATACTCTGGGTGGGCCCTATCTAATCACATGAGTCCTAAAAAGTGGAGAAACTTTGCTGGCTGTGGTCAGGGAAAGAGATGTGAGGACAGAAGTAGGGTCAGAGAAATATGACATTTCAGACTATAAAGAGGAAGGAAAAGGGCCATGAACCCAGGAACGTAGGAAGCCTCTAAAAGCTCTAAAAGGCAAAGAAATGGAATCTTCCCTAGAGACTCTAGAAAAGAAGGCAGCCCTGCTGACACTTACATTTTTAAACTAGTCGGACTGGTACCAGACTTCCACCTACACAGCTATAAAATAATTATTTGTGTTGTTTTAAACCACAAAGAGTATGGTAATTTATTGTAGCAGCAATAGAAAAGAACGTTTTATTCATTTTCATAAACTACATATATATTTATTTGTACTTGCATTTATTTATATATGTATTTATTATAAACATATATTATATGAAAAAGGAAAATATTAGGGCATATATAATCATTAATAGTGTCAAGTGGTTGTCTGTTTTATCTGTTATAGACCCATCTGGTCTCATTTCCTACTAATTTCTTACCAATGTGATAAAATATTAAACTTACTGAACATAGCACCTCAGTCATAAAATGGTCAAGTCTTGGTGATCTGTTTAAGGAAGTAAAGTTATTCAGATATAAACATAAACCACATTCATTTCCCACTGTTAAACTGCTATGGACTCAACAGACTTGCAAAATTCCAAACTTTGAAGTCACATTCACATAATAAATCCACAGATTTTGATGAGTGTTAATCTCACTTTAAGTTTTAATGCTTGTCATGATTGTGTCTGAATTATTATCAAACATTTACTCTATTAAGATAGCTCAATTACAAAAGCTCCTGACTAATCTGAAAGGCACACCAGGCCTCCAAAATAAGACACACCATGTTCCTTCACCTGGGAAGGAAGCTGAGATGTAAGCACAAGAGCTGTCCTAAAACTTTGACTAAACTCAGAAAGGTCTGGGTTCAGCTAGTTCTAGGAAAACACATGCACCTTCATTAAAGCTGACAAAACAGCTTTAGAGAGGAATCATTTGTGATATAAACACGGAATAAAAATAAACCTGGAAATGTGTTCTGATAATATACCCCACAGTTTTTCTAGACTGGTTCTGCTTAATTCCAATATTCATTGACTTGGTCAGATACTAGTGATAGACCTAAAATTCTGCACTTTTATATGAAAAGGAACTATTACACTGCTTTTGGAGTGATGTTTTTATAACACTATAAATTCAAAATTTTAATTATTAATAGGTTGTATTTATTAGTAAAATGTCAATAAAATATGCATATGAATGGTTTCTGATCACGTGAACCACAACTGAACCTTTACACCAACATCAGGGCAGATCACCAGATATTAATCACACATACAGTAAGTCTTTCATTCCTTGAAAAATATGCCTTCCTTAACAAGTATTTAACATGATGCCCTAGGAGAAAGGAATATATAAATGTACTGAGATCACCCACAGAACAAGCTTTCTCACTCTGCTCTTCCTTTCCTGTGTTCCTGTTCTCACCATTATTCCTCCCCATCTTTTCTTCACAGTTATCATATAAATAAATAAATACAAATTAATTGCTTTAGGCACATTGTAATTTTGATTTAAAAACTGAAGAGTCAAGCACTAGATTCAATTTACCCATAACGAAATAATAATTGGAATAAAATAGCACCTGATGCCTGAAAAACTCTACGCTAAGGGCCAGGACACTCTCCTCACCCTCATAGAGCTCCTCTCCAGTGGAGAAGGCAGCCAACTAGGCTACAGGAGTTCCCACAGGGATGTGAGCTATAAAGGGTGACCTGCCACAAGGGAGAGGTACTTCAGGTGCTGTTTGCACTTTGCCAGAAGGAGAGAAGAGGAAACAGGAGGAGAAACAAGGAAAAAGACCATAGCCTCCACCAAGCATGATGAGTAGCACAGTCTAATCAATTAAAGAACTGAGAAATAATCCAATTCCTCCAATTAAGTTGACAGCTTTAAAAAATAAAAGTTAAGATAATTATCTGGAGAAGCTGGGAAAAAAAAGCTACTTACCTCTGATCTCAATGATTTGTATGAAATAAATGAAAAGGTTTCTTTCCACTTCACTCTTCTAACACAGAACTTACCTTATTTTAAAACCATAATAGCTAACAGAAGGATATTAATAACATAAATAGGTTTTGTATACTTGACAAATGGACCTTGAGACTGAACATCAGATTAAATCCTTACCAAGAAAAAGATCAGTAAGACAGGAAAATACATACATATTTTCAGTGCCTTACTTAGCATATTTGATACCTGGTGTAGGTACTTTTTAAACCTCCTCCTCCTCTATATGACACAATTTACTTTTCATAAGAATCATTAATAATCATTATTATCCTCATCTGTTCTTTAACTTCAAAACAAATGAAAATTTGCAAAAGGAAAACAAATTTCAAAGTTATTATTTAAGTTCAATGAAATATTTCATGTATGAAATTTACATTTACCCAATAAAAATATTACCCCTCACAATTCAGTTTTATTGCTATAGTTTTGAAATTCAAATAAAAATTTTAAGGAACAGATAAAATAACAGAATTGAAATAACTCTATTTCTAGTTCTTTGCCTTTACAATCATTGCATCTGTTTATTTTGAATGTTTAAATACATAAAGAATACAATGTTTATTAAAGGATAATCATAAAACATGCTAATTTGACTCATGTATACATTTTATTAAAACTCAACAATGACCACATTAATTGTTTAGAAGTTAGGGACACGAATTTTCTGAAAAACATTTAATCACTGATGTTTAGACTTGCCGGTTGCATGGTGACAGTAAAAAGCAGACCAACTTTAAGTTGGCTTTATTATTTATAAATTTCTAGAGACAGTGCAGCTTCTTAGCAATTACACTCAGGGCAAAATACTCCCATTACTTCACGCTTGGTATGAATAATTTTTAAACCAAATAGTTTTTAACCCAAAGTTGTAGAGAACTATAAAATCACCACTATTTTTATGTGATATGTTTACCCCAGCTTCAGGGGTCTGCAACTACCCAGGGCCCCATGTTTGGTTAGTGTTGTTCTACCGTGGTTTTGAAATCGTTTACAATTTTATCTTTGAATTGGTGTGTATTAATGAAAATGAAAGGGTCAGTGAAGTATATGCCCTAGACCCACATGAAGTCCTGCCACCCAGTGTCTTCCAGGGACAGTCCTCAGCCACCTGCTTTCCCACCCAGCAGTTACTGCTACACTCCATTCCTGCTGGAGGCTTTGGCACAGGCAAGGCTGGTCAGGGGTCATGGGATAGGGTGATGGACACCCATGAGGGTCTGCATGCTCCCACAAGTATATTTATGTATACTAGAAATCTAACATTAAATGGCAAATAGAAATAAATTTTCTGGGGTCAATCAAGACTGAAAAAAGGAAAAATCTTTTTCATTTTGCATGGGGTTCCATAATTATATGGCTATCCCTGACTATGTATGTGTGTGCATGTGCATCTGTTTGTGTTTGTATCTAAAAGAATAAAATTTCTTTACCTATAGCTAATAAAGGGAATGTATAATTTTATAATTTATAGATAAAATAGGCATATATGTAACTATCTACAGAGATGAGAATAATAATTTTAATAGCTTACGTATCATGGGAAAAGGAATTCCAATACAATATTATCTTACCAGTTTCTTGTAACTAATGAATTTGCTTAAAAAAATCTTTAACTGATTATACATTATATGCTAAAACTGGAGATATTCTAGCTTCAGAAGCAGGACTGATACTAATAATGTGTTCTTCTTATTAACAAAATCTGCTTTACAACTTTGATTTCTTGACAGGCAAGAAATTTTTGATCAGGAACCAAAGTCATCAAATATTAGGAGCACAGAGATACATCAAATGTGTTGAAGGATCCTTAAAACTCACTAACTAATTTTAGCATATTTCAATTATTCACATGAATTACTTATACTGAACAATACTAAATCCTTAATTTCACACCCAAAAAGATGTATTCTTTATAATCCACAATTTTCAAAACATTCCTTTATGAATTACCACTTATAATAAGGCATATAAAAATATTTCTATCATAAATATTTCATTTTGTTTAGCTCTATTATTTAAGGAGGTTTCATGTTCAATATATAGTTGACAATATCTTCAAGACTTTCTTCTGCACTTTAACAATGGCACTGACATTTGAATGTAAGAATAGTCATAGGTATTCTGTAGACAGATTTACATATATACATATGAAATTCATATATATATATGAACATATGTGAAATGAAACCAAAAGAACCTTGAAACAAATATTTTTGCACTTGTCAAAATTTAGACAGCATTTCTAATATTCCTGAGCGATAGCTAAAATTTTAAAAAATCTATGACATTATGTCACATCTGTAAAAGGTTATAAGCTATCCAAACTATGTTATTTCTTTACACCTTCAAAAATGGCCTTAACCCCTACAGGACTGACTTTATGCAACACATTAAATCCCAATTTGGTAATTCACCAACTTAATCCTGAACAACGCTCTCTTTTATCTTTTTACCCTTCAAATTGATATGCAACTCCAGTTTTCTTTCCTAATCCAAATTCTCTTAATTAACTAATATTTAGATACTGTCTCAAAATAAACAATCATATGTAAATAACCCTCTGGTTTGATTCTGTCCCTAGAAACTCCTATATTAATGCTGTACCCTGTGAGCAGCCCAAGGAGAACCTACGCAGAAAGTGAATCCAGGTAAAATCATGTACTCATCTGTAATTTATCACATTTCTATACAGAAAGAACCTCAGCACATATCAATATACGGGATAGGGAAAAACAGTCACTTACATCACTCATGTACTCTGAAAGAAGATCCTGGAGAGCTTGGCGAATGGCACTGCATTCTGCGATTATCCGCTCCCGATGGAAATCCCTCGTGCATGAAGAGTCGGCCAACAGAGCAGCCCCACTGATAATGGCTTCAAGACGTTTCTCTAGTGATGGTCTTAGTTCCTCCTCAGTCACTGTTAGTGGATCCATGACAATTAAATTCTAAAGGAAGAACACACATTTGGATGGTTTAGAATTCTATGGCATCCTATTTTTTTAAAAAAATAAATATTTTGTTTTCACATTCAGAATTCAGATGTGGTAATAAAGAGAACTGTACTTCTACTGCCTGAACCAGTTCATGCATAATTCTATGTAGCAATTATTATTCAGGTAAGTAACAAACACTGCAATTATGAGCATCAGTTCTACTGTCAGGCTGTGTCCAAATCTTGCCTTTCCCACTCACCATAGTATGGGCTCATTCTGATATCTTACACATTCTGACCTTTACTTCCTGATCTGTAAAACTGGATTAACACTTCTTGTTTCATAAAAGTATTGTAAGTATGACATGAATGCTTAGTATAGTGTCTGACATGTATTAACAATTATTTACAATAGTCACCTTTATGTATATAGAACTCTATTGTTTACATAGTATTTTCATATATATCATCCTGACAACACTAGGAAAAGTTGGACACAAAAATATTGTTAAGCACACACTTCAGTTTATGATGAAAGAAGTTGAAACCATCCTGCTCAAGGTAAATAAACAAAGTTCAGATAAGTATTCAGGTCTTGTAATACCTACTTCAAAATTATTTTCATTATGCCTCATTGTAAATCATGTACTTTAATTAACATTAACACTAACATACCAAAGAGAATTCTGAGTTTTAATTATTCATTTAATAAGTAAAACTCCATCCTCCAATTGATCTATTATAACTTCCAGCTATTTTCAGCCATTAGAAACTGATGGTATTTTTAAGATTTCCATTTGGATATGTCTTCAGGCAACAGAAGTCAAGATAATCTATAGCCTCTGAAGAAAAAAAATGGATGTTATGAGGCTCTAAGGGTTATTTATTAAAATACATCAAAGAAGATAGCCTTTCCAAAGTTGAGGCATGATATAGTAACTGGAGAAAGAGTTAGTAGCAAATAAAAAGTCTCTGAAGAGCCATTAATAAAATGAAATCATATAATGGTATTAGAAATGTATATGCATGTCTGAGTCTATTACACACATACACAAAACACATAAAGATCATTGACCTTCAAAGTATATAATCTTATAGATAAAATTTTATGTATATACAAATATATACACAGAAATATATATATATATATATATATATATATATATTATGTTTGTGTGTGCATACTTACACACACACACAACACATTGATCATTGTACTACATTACATTTTGATAAACATGTAGGGACCAAAGTAGCCAAGAAAAATTTTAAGCTGCAACTCTAGAGCTAAGCTAGAAAGAAAAAAATCATTACAGAAAAAGAAATAATTTTAAAGCAATTAGAAAAAAGAAAGATTATCACTGTGTAATCTTCACATATTTTGTAATATAAAATATAAACTAGAAACAGATTTTATTTTAAATTGTTTGTCTTAAAGTTATTAAAAAGAATATTTCCTTTTATGACTATCCCTTTCCTATTTTTCTACTGTTCTACTGAGTCTCTCCATTTTTCCCTTCAGGTGAACAAAAAGATTTAAAAAAGAAAGGAAAGGAATTTTACAAATGCCAAATGTAACATTTTCTTTATCCAGTACATTATCTTTTTGATGAGACAATCCCAACCATGGGCTTGGCCATCAGTCAAGGATTCATTTACATCTAAATCTACCTCTTTATTTTTCAGTTTTCACAGTGTCTTCCTTTAGCTCACTTATTTAGAAAAAAAATTTCACTCCAGTGTTTCAAAACAATTATTAAAATAATCAAAACCTTTTTAAAAATGTCCCTCCAATGTGATATCAGCATTAAGAAGAAACACTGAGGGCAGCAGATTACTCTTTGATTGCTCAAATGCAATTATAAATTGTGATAGTAATAGTTGACTTGTCTCTAGCATTGAGGTGATAGGAAAAGTTGATTAATTTCAAATCTGTTTAACTATTCTAAGAAGAAATTACTAATTTTAGCTGGTCTGCCTATGATTTTATGTCAGAAAACAGCCTCTATTATAGGATTACATTCATTTTATCCTAGGTCCTGTCCTATAAGACCATTCTTTAAACTACCCTAGTCTTTGGATTTTTACCTGCTTGAATTTAAAACCTCAAATTCTTCAAGCTCATCTGATCTCAAACCTTTGCCTACTCTGACATCTGACATTCAGGCCTCTTGATTCTGTCTAAAACTACTGTCCTTCTACTCACATGCCGTAAAATTTTTTACTAACCTTTCATCAAATCAATAAAAAGGTGAGTTTTTAAAAATGATTTGTATGGTTTATGACATACCACTGTACATTTTAGACCTAGTGAAAAAAGAATGATCTTCTGGACATTAGTAAAATGATGAAACAGAAGGCTCCACACCTCATACCCCCACAGAAACACTGATTTTAACAATGACCAATAGAGAAGAATATTTTTATGGATGATTGAGACTATAGCTGACAGCTTTCAGCACCCTACTGTGGCAAAAAATCAAAGAATAGAAGCATTGAAGAGCATAAGAACACTTTTGCTTTACCTGTGTCACCACTCTCCCAAGGCAGCACAGCTCAGGGTCAAGAGGGATTGCCTTTGCATGTGATTTCTCCCACAGGGGCAAATGAGAGCAAAGTGAGCCTCAGCTTCCCCAGCCTTGTGGGATGCTGCCCAAGAGGCCCATTTATGTCTCTCCACACCCAGAATCTTCAAAGGATTAGGACAGCTGAATAATCTGGGACAGCTAAAGACTAAGAAAAGGGGAGGGAGCTCACAGAAATCAGTGAACAGATCTGAACAAGTGGTATGTCTGATTAACTGGATTGTGGACTCTAATGAGAGCCATGCCCAGAAACCTGGTAAGACCCCCAACTTCAGACCCTACAGTGACTAGCCAATATGCATCATCAGCACTCCATGCACCCTTCTTCCTGTAGCCAACACCCCATTCTACCCTGTAGACAACATGTGAGTTCCCACAGGGAGCACACAAATAGCATCTAGCTGGATCTGCTGGATTAGGAGAAGGTGCACAACCGTGAACACTTTGGAGCACTACATTAGAGAAAATAAACAAGAGGCTCTCAGCATGCAACCTGATTTTGCAGGGTCAAGAGAAGACACACAGTCTAAGACTTCTCCCCCAGGGGAAGCAAGAGGAAGCAAGTGTATCCATGGAGAGAGTCTGATAGACCCCAGGTTGTCTTACTGGGCTGAATAGTGAAGATATTTCTCTCTTGAAGCCAGTCAGTAAAGACTAGAGGAAGTGACTGCTTCTTTGAATGTAAAGACAGCAACACAGGGTTTCAAGGAACATGAAGAATCAAGGAAATGTGAAAATACCAAAGGAATAAAATAAAACTCCAGTAGCTGATCACAAAGAAATGAAGATATCCCAGTTGCCCAAAAAATAATTCAAAATTCGTAAAAGTGAATTTAAATTCTCATCTTAAGCTAAGCAAGATAAAAAGGAACACATGTAGACAACTCAATGAAATCAGGAAAGCAATACATGAACAAAATGAGAATTAACAAAGAGATAGAAACCAGAAAAGAACCAAACAGAAATCCTGAAGCTGAAGAATACAATGACTGAACTGCAAATTCCTTAAAGCAGTTAAACAGACTAGAGCATGCAGAAGAAAGGATCAATGAACTCAAAGACAGATCTTCGGAAATTACCTAGTCAGAAGATTAAAAAAAAAAAACAATTAGAAAGAGTGAAAAAAGCCTACAGGATTTATAGGACACCATAAAAAATCAGTATACATATTATGGGAGTTCTAGAAGGAGCAGAGAAAGAGGTCAGAGATCTTACTTAAAAATATAATAACAGAAAACTTTACAAACTAGGGAGGGCAATTAAAATGCAGATCCAGTAATCACAAAGAACTTCAAATAGGTTGAACATAAAGAAATGTTCACCAAGACACATAATCGAATTGTCAAAAGTCAAACACAAAACAGAAAATTTTGAAAGCAGCAAAAGGGTTTCATCTAACACCAGGGAGCCCTCAACACTGAGCAGATTTTTCACTTGAAACCTTTCAGGCCAGGAGAGAGCAGGATGATATATTCAAAGTGCTGAAAGAAAGTAGTGCTAACAATAATACAATAGCTCTCACAGCTGTTTTTCAGAAATGGAAGATAAAGACATTCCCACACAAAAACAGGAAAAGTTGATCACAAGTAGATCTGCATTACTAGAGATGCTAAAGGGAGTTCTTCAAGCTCAAACAAAGGATGACCAATTGGCTACATGAAAATATATGAAAGTGTTCAGGGAAATGCAAATTAAAACCACAATGAGATATCACCTCACACCAGTTAGGATAGCCAACATAAAAATTACTAGAAACAACAAATGTTGGCGAGGATGCAGAGAAAGGGCAACCCTCCTACACTGCTGTGGGAATGTAAACTAGTTCAACCATTGTGGAAAGCAATATGGAGGTTCCTCAAAAAACCAAAAATAGAAATACCATTTGACCCAGAAACTCTACTCTTAGGAATTTTCCCAAAGAATACAACTTTTCAGATTCAAAAAGACATATGTACCCCTGTTTATTGCAGCACTATTTACAATAGCCAAGACATGGAAGCAACCTAAGTGTCCATCAATAGAAGAATGGATTAAGAAGATGTGGTACATATAAACAATGGAATATTATTCAGCCATAAGAAAGAAACAAATCCTATCATTGCAACAACATGGATGGAGCTAGAGTGTATTATGCTCAGTGAAATAAGCCAGGTGGAGAAAGACAAGTACCAAATGATTTCACTCATTTGTGGAGTATAACAACAAAGCAAAACTGAAGGAACAAAATAGCAGCAGACTCACAGACTCCAAGAAGGGATTATAGACCATGACCTTGGAATGCAAGAATGCAAATCAATAGATGCAATATACCACATTAATAGAATGAAGGGTATATATCATACAATCATTTCAATCAATGCAGAAAAAGCATTTGACACAATTCTACATCCATTTGTGATAAAAAATCTCAACAGCTATAGAAGGAACA